GGTTGTGTATGTTAAAAAATATAGCTTGCTGGAACCATTTTTCCAAGATCTCCTACAGCACCTTTAAGGTCCCTCTACTGCTTTTCATTCAGGCTGAGCAGTAACAGTTGCGACTGCAACAACTCTATTTCATTTCATTGCATTCTAGAACAGGTTTATTTTTCTCTCTCTTTAAAAATAATTTGCGTACTAATGGACATTGTGCAAAATGTTCATAATTTATTTTCTGAAAAAATTAATGCATTTAAATCCTTTCTGTTTTATCACTCGTCTATGTTCGATCTGTCTCTAAAATGGGATCCTACTCTACTTCTGGCAGCTTCTGGGATACATAAATTCATTTTTTGTAGTTTTATGTTTGCAGTTCAGTTTACCTTTATTGTATATTGTGTATTAACCAAAGAAAGACACAACTAAAATGCAGATAAACACGGTGTAATCTTATTTCTGTCGGACGGCGCTGAAAATGTCAGATGATGACATAAGACAGCGGTTTAATAGAGAGAATGTAAACACATCCAATCGTCTTAGTAAAGTAATTAAATGTAGTTTAGCATTCTTTGGCAATTTAAGGTTAGAAATAACTTGTTTTGGAACCATAATAAAAAAATTTATGGCAACCTGGATGAATATCTGCTTGCACATGCACAAATAAGCTGATGGTGCTGATTGTGCCTACGGATCAGGTAGCGAGAATCCAATCTACACTCAGGCACTGAAAAATCTACCACACTACAAAATAAGAACTCATAGCCTGTATCATACAGGCATTCATTGCCACCAACAGTTTACAACACAAATAAAAAAACAATTAGGCCATCTTGAACAATCTGAATCTGCTATTATTTTATAGTGTGCCCAACAAATCAAGGCCAAAAACCTCTAATAACAGCTTTGTCCAAAAGAGATTTTTATGGTTTCCGATATAATCAAGTTTAGGTATGAGGCTAAAACAGTGTCAATGAATCATAGTGCTGGTCTGATGTTTTTAATGACAACAAAGTACAGCAGTACAAGGCTTTCACATTGTGATCTAGTTAGATCACAATGTGAAAGAACATTGTGAAATCAAGCAAACATACCAGTTTAGCAATAAAAGCATGATTTGTACAAACAACATTATCTTTGTAAAGCCATGGTTACACTGGCATTAAAAGGTAGGAAGACCATTTAAGACCTTACAAGTCTGACTAAATCCTAAAAAAAAAAGAAAAAAAAGACCATAGACTGATATTAATTGCTGCACATATGCGTTCAAAATAGTGCAGCATGACACCAGGAAAATGGGAAACTGTGATGTTACTGTTTATCAATCTCTCATACATAATTTTTAAAAAGTGCAAGAACATTCAACCGGACACATTTGGCATTGACCAGTCTACCAATACTGTATCCAACCAGTCCTTTGTGATGACAATACTGCAGATACTGCGACGACAATTGTATTTCATTGTATTGTGCAGGTCTAGTCCAGAACATAATCTAATTTAGAACAAATCTAATCCAGAACATATTATATACAGCCTGATCAAAGAGTGGGTGAATATTTGATTGCTGGTCAAAACAAAGACTTGCCTTTTAACATAGAATTACATGTCTTCTGCAGTTATAGCAGGGTTTATACAGGAGGGAGGAACTCTAATTTAATGCTTTTTAATGCTCTTTTAATAAATGATTTTAATGCCATCAATAAGTAACCATATACACACACATATATATATATATATATATATATATATACACAGGTCGTAGCCACGTCCCGAATTTCTCGCTCCAGCCACATATGTTATAATTTGATTTTTTTTTCATTCGTTTAATGGATTTGAATGCCAATTAAGGCCTTAATTTAAAAAAAAATAATAATTTAATGACTTTTAATGATTTTTAATGACCCGCAGAAACCCTGTATTGGACTTCAGCTTTATTCTGTCGTAAGACGTCGTATCACAAAAGCAAAGGACCACTTGGGAGCAGTATTTGGTGGGCTATATAGTATTTCAGATATGATGCAATAGATCTTTGCTTACTGTAACGCACTAAGCAAACTTTGTTTACTTCGAATGTCCTTCATACTAATGGGTGTTACAGTTCTTTAGAACAAAAATTGTATTTGTGTTGATGGGATAATTGAATATATATAATTAAGGAAAAAAATGAGTTTATCATAATCAGATTATTTTGTAATAACACAATGCTAATTCATTCACTTGGTTCCAATTTTGTGTAAAATCTTATTTAAGGAATATTTGGTTATCTGATTATTAATCAATTAATTGAAAAATAAGAATCAAAAGTTAAATCTATTAAATCCAACCTGATTTGCATCCTGTAATAAACAAAACAAGAAGTCTGGTGGCTAAATGCTAAACATAGAAGGGGTTAGGGACGAATGTGCCAAGCAGCAAACACTAAATAAGTTCAACAATTCCCCTCAGCAAGCCACACCAAACATGTGAAGTGCTGCAGCTTTCTTTACTTCTTCAGTTTCTTGGGAAATTTCAAACCAAACAGCTAATTAACTGTTTCAGGGAAGAAAATACCCCTAAAATGCATCCATGGGCTTTCTTTATGTTTAGGTTTAGAGTACAGGTGGAAATGCATAAAGCAAATATTGCAGCAGGTTAACAGTCATTAATGATATATTATAAGATAATAAAAACTTATATTTTGTTTTTTCATTTGCCCTAAAAAGTATAAAAGTGATGAAAAGATGTAGTGCAAAACTAATTATTCGCTCAAAATCTGTTACTTTGTAAATTGCTCCAAAACTAGGAAAATACTATAAATATGAAAAAGTGCATTAGTGTTGCCACACATTAATCAGTTAATGTAACGCTGCTAATTACCCGTTACAATTAAACAATCCCTTACAGCCTCCATCGTGTCGGAGGCAGTGAAATACAGAGGAAACCCTGAGTCAGAGAAGCCAAGCGTTTTCTTTAAACTTCTTTAAAACATCAGTTATGGAAATAAAATACACAAACATCACTTAGCAAGAGGCTCTGACTGCATCACAACGTGATCCTAACTTCAAAGGACAACAACAGATTTTATGTGAAAAAAACAACAACTCTGTAACTAAGTACAGAAAAACGTCACACAGAATCTTAGGGAGGGATTCAGAGATCTGCAGCTTAGATTGGAGAGTGTTTTTACAAAACAAGGTATGGACGACATACCGCCAGTGTGTCAAAACTATCGGTTCTTCAATAAACATGAAAAATATTATCTGTGCACACCGCATATCTGCCCTGTATGGGGGAGTGGAAAAAAACAAATAATTAAATAAAAAAAGTGGAATAAATGTCAGGGGTTTTTTTTGGTGATCTAATCAAAACAGGCTAAAATCAAACATACATGAAGAGGTATAATGGAAAGGTGAAGCATGCTGTTACATCTACATGATCATCTTTTGAAAGTTAAAAACTGCTGAAAAATAAAAATTCCCACTTTTTTTAATTTTATTTGAGTTTTGAGTTTTTACTGAGACAGTAGGCTGACAGGAAAGGGGGTATGAGAGAGGGGGAGGGACATGCGGCAAAGGACCACAGGCCGGATTTGAACCCGGGTCGGCCGTGTCGAGGACTAAATGGCAGATTATACTTCTGCAACCGCACACATCAAATGTCGCCTGGGTCTGGTCACGAACCGGTTTTGCTGTTGTGCTTCTGCACTGTCGGTCTGGAATTTCTAGGGAAGCACAGCAGTTTCCCGCAAAAGCACAAGGGGTAGCCTACTCAAGAACTCGAGAGAACTTCGGCGGCGGGTGTGTTTATCTTCCAAAAGAACAATGGAGCATCTACAATATGTCACGGAGATGGATCTAGAGTTGCTAGACATCGAAGAGGAACAGGTTCTGTTTACGGAGTTGGCAAAAAGACCGATTAACCTTTCGTCGTTGTTGTCCATTGTAGTTGCTCCTCGGTTTTTTAAAATGGAGCGCCCCAGCACCGAATCGAGAAAGAAGACCACACAGACACCCGGAAAGGCATACCAAGGACCAGCTGCCTTTAGTCTGCGCACTTCCACTTGAGTTCTGTGGGGGTTTCTGACCGTCCGACACGTAGTCAGGATTTTTTTTAGGTGCACGACGACGGTTGCAGAACATCTGCGCGGGGGGGTGGGGGGGGGGGGGGGGGGGGGGGGGGGGGGCGTAGTTGTGCACATAGACAGATTTGAGGGTTGCAGAGATTATGCATCAAAAGCATAAATTGGCCTTAAGGTCCCCGTACATGAGTCATGCGCAATAACTACTGCGTCATCTAAAAAAAATCCCACTCTACAGGCAGAATGAGTTTGAGCCATTTGTCAAGTTGTCCAACAATTTACCTACAAACCATCATTTTTCTTTCACTTCACAAACTTTTTCTAATTTATGTTGGCCCATCGAATAAAATCCTAATAAAACATATTTGAGTTAATAGTTGGACAGGACAGAGTATTAGAAAAAGATCAGAGATATTCATACTTGGACAAGGTACTATAACGGTTTGTAATCATGTCTACTACACCCTTATAACTACTTTTGTCTATTTATTTTTATGCAGATTCCCATATTTTTGAGATTGCAAATCCTCCAGGAAGAAAAAAAGGATGCATGTATAGAACACCACCTTTAATTCATAGCACCATATTCAAAAACATGTCAGTCAAAAGAAATCTGATAACCTTGATTCTTCATTTTTTTTTTATCCAACTGCGTATTTGGATTTAAGGAGATTTGCACACCGGCCCCTGCTGCGGGTAAGCAGACATATGCATGTGGAATGTGGAGAGATGCATCTGCCTAAAACAAAAAAATAAAAACACCACACACACAGAGAACAACGAGGGGACAAGGCGAGCTTTGAAGCTGAAACGCTAGAAGGATCTGTAATGTAGGACACCACGAGGTCTCAATGTAAACACAAACCCAAGTGCTGCAGAAATACAACTAGTTCAACACACAGCATGAAGGGAGAGACAGTGATGATAAAAGGAGGGAGGGGATTCTTTCCTACCTGTTGTGGCATATCAACCTTCACTATGTGGTGTTGCAAATGGGGTCCCCAATCTGGAAGCCAGGTCGCCAAATTTCCCAAAACAACGAGGCTGAAGGAAAGCTATTTCCTCACACTTAGAAAACGTTTCCTTTGGTTTCTCCAGACAAATCTGTCAAAAGAAAGATGAATTAGAAAGAGTTGTCTTGTGGTCAGAAAGGGTGGAGGATGGGGATGCTGATGGTCCCCTTAGTTCTTGCAGGGATACACCAAACCTTTAAACATGACTATAAAAATCTGACCACACTATAAAAACCACCTAGAAATAAGCAAAAATGTCTTAAACTAAGTGTATTTACGCCTAATTTGAGCAGGTAAATAAGATAATTTGCCAATGGAATTAGTATTTTTACACTTGTAATAAGATAATTAGATAATGTGTATTTGAAATAAGGCAATGCACATTTTTTTTCTTATTTTAAATGTAAATTGTCTTGTTTCACTGGCAAAGTGTCTCACTTATCTCCTCAATTCAAGAAAAAGTGCACTTATTGCAAGAAAAAATGACTAATTTAGATTTCTATTTTTTGCAGTCCACCCTTGATTAGATTACTAACCGCAAAAACAGCACAGGATCAATCGGAGAATGAGGCTTTGGAGCTTTAAGGGTCATGTGGGACCCTCACTGACCCATTCAACCCAAACCTCCAGGCGGGTGCTGGAATTGTTCGCTGTTCAATCGCCCACTGCGCAATTTTGCATAAAAAACCAAAACGAGAGTGAAACCATAAACAGCGCTGTGATACAAACGCATGAGTGGGAGAGAAAAAAACAAGCTTGTTTAGCTACACAGACGTGTCCATTTGTGAGAGGAATTTAGTCCGGCTGCGAGAGGACTTGTCCATGTGCCAGGACGCACGGCCATATTTATCTGCAACATTTTAAAAGCAGTTTTTATCCCTCTCCACTCGGAGCCCAGGCGAACATAACAGAGCGGTAACGGGTCGGAAATAAGCTAGCAGCTAAAAGAAAGAAATAACTGAATTATGCTACCAGCAGCGGTATGTGGAAATGATCCCACGCTGCGAGTAAATGTTGTGTTACAGCTGCGGAGCGGCGACAAAAAAAGGCCAGGCTGACCGGGGAGAAGCGCGCGTGACATCGTTTTATCACTGAATACTGCACGCGACCGGGAGAGCAATAACAACAGCTAACGTTACCGTCGGCTGCACACTTTGCTGGCCTCAACAGCGGTCCCTGCGCTTCTAGGCACTTCTCCGCTGCGCGGAACGAGATGGTGCATTAACTACAGTGCCACGACAGCGGTACGACGCCTACCTTTTCAACTCAGCAGAACCCAGCTGAAAGAAACTGCAAAACAACTTACGTTAGTTCCAACGAAGAACGACGCTAGCTTACACTCCGACAGGCGATTTTTTTTTTATCTGTATGTCCACAGATGGACAGCACTTCTACATTGTCCCGCCCACACCGTTTCCCAGTCAGGCATATCTATACATATATATATGATCCCCCTCCCTATCCAATCACAGCAGCCCACTCTGGAATGGTTCGCCCTCCTATTGGTGGAGGGGCATGTCAATCAGATGCTGTGGTCACAGCCCTTCCCCACCATATAGGGGTGTGTCGTGACGTATAGCGTAGCCTGATAGACAATATACATTAACAATGTATACACAGACTTTTTTTCTCTCAGGAAATGCATCAAGCTTTATATGTAACACTTGTACTTTAAAATTATTAACAAGATCTTATAGATGAGCCTAATGCTTGCCAAGAAGAATTATTTAATTAACATTTAAGACATGTTTTGTGCTGCCCTGTTTCTTTATCCACCTGTGCCAGATTTGGCCAGCAAAAGCCTAAAACATCAAGAAATAACTATAAGATGTTGGATTAAAACACACGCCTGTTTTCAAAGTCTTACCTTATCAGTTGGACTTAGGATTGGATTTTAGTCAGGCCATTTAAACACATAAATATACTTTGATCTAAACCGTTCTATTGTTGCTCTAGTTCTTTGTTTAAGGACATTTTCCAGTTGGAAGGGAGTCTTTGTTCCAATTTCAAGTGATCTTAAACCTCTAATAGTTTTCTTCCTCTTATAGGTTTTCTTCCAGCAAATTTTTGCTGTGTCCTTTACATGTAATGTTGTAAAATCGTATTTACTCATGGGTGGTTCTAGACCCTGTTATGGCCCCTATACTGAACACAGGTCACTAGAAGAAAATGATGATTCTGATGATGATATGTGCTGGAGCAGACATGGTAACCAATAGGTCCCTTGGATCCATTTATTTTCCTTCTTTATGGCTCTGTACTAATTGAAAAATAAGTTGATAACTTCAGGGGATTAAGATAGGATCACAATTTTTATCTGCTAAATTTTATTTTAAACCAATACTTAAATTTGTTACAGCTGAATTTATCAATTTTACTGAAGTTTTGATTCTGATTTGATTTAAACCCATAATTGTCATATAAAAAAGTGAAAAAAATCAAATATTCCTGAATTATGAATTTAGATTGACTTAATATTGCAAATAATAGATTTATATTGATATTTGAGTAGATATTGAGTTGCTTTTTTATTTAAGGTAAATAAAGTTAGCATCTTCAAACCAAAAATGCAAACTTTCAATTGAAACAGCAGGAACTTCTTATTAAACTAAATTACGTGGAAGAGGAAGTGAAGAGCCGCGAGTATCTCTTTGGTTCTGTGGTTATGATATGGTGATTATCATAACCCCCCCCACCCCCCACCCCCTAGTAAACATGGACTACATAAACTCCTGGATTTACTTCACCTTTGGATTTTAAACTGATTCTCCTCCACACAGGCCAGATTTCTGCCAGACTGACTAATGTTTGGGCTCCGAGCTGAGTTGCTGATCTGTGCAGCTCCTCCAAAGTCTCCTCAGGTTTCCTTGCAGGATAGCCCCATGTTTAGCTCCAACCATCTTCCCATCAGCCCACACCCTTCTAAAAAGACTATAGTATAATGCTGCCACCAAACCTTTTGTAATGATTTGCGTTTAAGGGGAACATATAGAGTTCACTTCCTGCTACCATTTTGAACATAAGCTAAAAAAGTGCAATTTATGCCTCGTTTGAACCAGAAAATATTCCACCACAATTGTTTTTTTTTTAGTCCCCTGTGGATTTCAGTCGAATGCCACACATTTCATGATTTTTTTTTGGAAGGTATTTTTTAAGCCTTGTTGTAAATTCCTCCCTTTTCAGAACTATACAACCAATTGAAATACAAAGATGCTGTCATTATAACATGACAAAGTTTATGGTTATGCATTGTTTGCAGGAAACTGAATCATCTATGTCATGTAGTGTTTAAAATGCCCATAAATAAAGGTATTTGTTCTGCTGTTACTTTCCATTTAACTGTTTAACATGCTCTGTGACGCTATATTTCTCACAATAAATTATTAACTCTTTACCTATACATAATATATGAAAGTTCCACCATGCTCATCTATGTTTATCTGGCCTCTGCGTACCTGAAACTACGGTAGCGGAAACTGATAGTATGGATTCAACATCCTGAAAGCAGGACAGGTTAGCAGAGAAACGCTCTTATCAACCAATTAGCCTGTTCGTGGCGTTTATATGGAGACACAGCAGACCCAATTTGTCTCTGTCGCCAGGGGGTTCAGAGGGAATGATAAGGCTCAGCGTGTCACCCTGAAGCATAATATCTAAATCCATCAATCATCACATTACCCACACTGTAATTAGTAGTGATTTGTCCCATATATCTATCGCTCCTCCAGATGCATTAAAGAGTAGCAGTAGGATTAAAATAAACTATATTGTGAGTCTTTTATAAAAAATATACTAAAGTGTAACAAGAGAAATGGGTTACAAACAGCAGACCTTATTGTCCATTCTATTATCCATCACGCTTATCCCATGCAGGGTCTCGAGGGGTGTTGGTGCCTATCTCCAGCTGTCTACTGGTGAGAGGCGGGGTACACCCTGGACAGGTCACCAGTCCATCGCAGTGCAACACAGAGACAAACAACCATTCAAACAGCACACTCACACCTAAGGAGGATTTAGAGAAGTTCATTAACATAACAGTCATGTTTCTGATGCTCTGGGAGAACATGCAAACTCCATGCAGAAAGACCCCAGGAATTGAACCCAGAACCTTCTTGATGCAAGGCAGCAGTGCTACCCACTGCACCAATGAGCAGCTCAGACCTTATTGTCTTGTTTGATTAGAGGCATGCTCTGACTATTTTAATCCTTGTTTCAATTTAAGATGCTTTAAAATATACAACAAAACCTTATTGTTATATATCTGAAAGCATCTTAAAGCTACAGTGTGTAATTTTCAGCGACATCTAACGTCCAGACTGCAGACCGCAGCAACATGAACAGCTCCCCCCCACCGCTTCTCCCCCCCAACAGTACGGCGAGCGTTACGGGACAAAATGTCTTCCACGACGTCCGCATCACCTACCTTCTCAAGTGATGAGGTTTGTTTACATAGATAATTTTACAGATAGTATTTCATTAGCCTGTGTGTTCAGTACCGTCTCAGTTCATCTCTCTCAACTTGGCTGCGAGACCCGCTCCTATGTAATTATAAATAACGAATTCTAAGGCAACGCAAATATTAAGGTTAAGAGTCTGAGTTCGTAGATGATGATAAACTAGAAAATTTCTAAAGAAATTTTGAGGGGGGCCACCTACTGCCCGTCTGGGTAACTGGGCCAATACGGCCCTGGCAAGTGACATTGGGGCTCCCCAGACCAACTGCTTACGCCTTTGAGGGCTGCTGAGGGAAGGAAAGAGGGCTAGGTCATGGGCAAAGAGAGCTGTGTGCCACTTGTGCTGAAATCTGGGAAATAGACGTGCACAGCGTATGATGCACAAGGGTAATATGGTTTGTCCATATTGAACCGCAGTGGGTAAAGCGCAGTTGGAGGGCTCTGCCCGCCTGCTAGGAGCCCTTGCAGCGATGAAAAAAATCACCAATGGCGTGCTCCGCCCGCCTGCTAAGAGCCATTGCAGTGATGAAATCACCATTGGCGGGCTTCGCCCGCCTTCTAAGAGCCATTGCAGTGATGAAATCACCAATGGCGGGCTCCGCCCGCATGCTCAGAGCCATTGCAGTGATGAAATTAAAAATGGCTATGAGCAATATGCCAGAATGTATGAGTGTGTATAAGGAAGAGGCTTTTATTCTGTAGAGTCCCTGTAGTCTTATTTTGAAAGTCTATCATGGATGTGCATCAAAAGATGGGTCATGCCCAGCAGTGATATAGAAATCCATTTCCAAATGTTAAATCACTGGTTTTCCATGTTATTAGGTGAATAGCTGCTGTATTACAGAGTAAATGGGAGACTTTTATTGTGAAATTTGCTCTGGTGGTTTTGAAAAGT